AATACTTTTCTCTTACCTTTCAAGTGCTTTTAGCTGTCTAGTTCAGAGCCCTTCTGATACAACCACTATTTGAAAAGGCAATTTGAGCAAGCTGAAAGGTCATCAAATCCTCTCCTCTTCCCAGTCCAGCTGCAAACCAGCACCAGTCCCTGTGGTGAATTTAAGTCCCTATGGAACTGATGAAAGGAACCAATAGAGGCCTCAGGGTGTTCCCCTTCCACAAACCACTTAAGGAGCACGCTGGGTTTGGGAGCAATTCCCCTATTCAGAATCAGCCTTGCACACCAGCAGAAAGAACCATTTCCAATTCATTTTGTGCTCTGCTTCTAGTCAAAAGCCAGAAAGCCTTCCCAGCCCCATAAATCTAGCAGCAAACATCTCAGAATTATGGCCAAGACCCACATATTCACAAGCACATTTGAAGTATTAATGATGTGAAACTCAGGTGAAGTAACACAGAAAGTAAAAATAAAACGCCTTCTAAAACCAGCAGTAGTTAAACACGACACTGCACTTATCCAGCACAATACTCAAAAAAAATCTTCAGAACTTAAAAAAACAAATTAGGTGTTGTAGGCATTGTTAGGGTACCCACAGGATTATTTTAACCACGTGCATTATTGAGGCATGTTTTTAGTGAACAAATAGTCTCAGATTCTGGTCAGTTGGTTTGCTTTACTGCAACCAGAAGCTGCGCTGAGAGAGCTGAAGACGGCAGCAGCTTAAGGGCTATCAAGACGCAGCGTTAGCCCTTGCCAATCTCAGTTGCTGCAATAAGGGGGTGAAGTCAAATACAGCATGCTTACCACACTGAACACCACTAACTCACACGGGAGCTTCACACTTTCTCACTTAGTTTTCGGTTTTTAAAGCTGTAAGCACCAAATGCTTTGTCCTGGGCAATCCTGTTACAGAAAGGGAAAGATAATGCTGCAAGGGAACAAGCACGGTCCCACTTCCACACCTGGGAAAGTGCTGATTACACAGGTGATGCTATTGAGCAAGGGAGCGATTCAGTCCTGGCTGAAGAAATAGTTCTTCCCACACTCACTGGTTCCTCACTCATCTGGACCATCAATGAAAAACAGAGAGACCAAGGGGAAGTGGAACAAAATATTGAAGAAATGAATGCATGCTCTAACATCCAAATCCCCTCCGATCACATCCAGCTCCCTACTTTATTTGCTCTGCTGGTATTCTGGTATTCCACAGTTGATTGCTTTTACCAGATGGAAAGTGGCAAAAAATAGCAACTTCTAGACAGTAACATAGGGCAAAGCTTGAAATTCTCTCCCTGCAAACACCTAAAACCTACTTCCAAGCCTGTCATGCATCAACACACATCACTGGGAAGCACAGTGGCAAACAGCCTGAGCTTTGAAGACTGGATGCTTACAAAAGGGTTGCAGCCCTCGGGCTTTGCAGGCTGAGCCCTTGCTGCTGCTGCAGTTTCCCTTCATAGAGAGACCCTCACGCAAGTTTAATAGCAGCCTTCCAGCTTCTTTGAGTACGAAGGTAATGCAGCGACATGGGAAATGAGGCCAGTGACAAGCATCTCACCTCTCCATGACTCGCAAGACCCACCTAAAGCAAGGAGAAGTGAAAGTAGCTACCCTTCTATGCCGGTTTAATGCTTTGTGTAACAGGTGTTAGTGGTTTCTGCTTGGCACATCCACAGGGCAAAAACCTTCAGGGTAGTTACCACCTGGGTTGGCAAGACAGTTGGGAACCAAACAGGCTGTGGAGAATTAACCCCATCCTCAGCACCAAACATGGTCTCTTTCCACTGATCACCATCACCTGCACCATCAGCCTGTGTGGGTACGTTACTGAGGAAGCTGCTGCTGCTGACTGCAGTGTGGATAATAAAATTTGACTGCATTAGCCTGCCAATCTGCAGGCATCTGAGTAAAACGCCTGGCATACGGGCAACAAGCAGCATGACAGACTGAGAGAGAATCCAGCTTCTCGCGTGACTTTTTGGATGTAGCTAACTGATAGGAACAGAAAATTTAATCAAAATGATTAGTTTAACATCAAAACTTTAAGGGATGTTCTCCCTGAAATCCAGATGTAGCCTTATTTTAGACGCTGCCTAAGTGATGTTCCCAGTCGGTAGAACAGGACAGTTTCTCTCACAAAACAGTATGGCAGCTGAGACAACAGAAGCAGAATTTCCCATATATTTTTCCCTTTTCAGGGCTATGGTTGTTCAATTTTGGCCGTAAAATGCTGTAACTTGCCCAAGATTCCTGAGCTGGAAAAAATGCAAAAAAACGGTCACATAAACTTAGGAATAGCCCTAGGTGATAAGAAGGGCGACAAAGAAACTCTTAAGAAACAAAACTAAACGTTTAGGAAAGCAGCTGGCAGATAACCGAGGACCGGCATACGGGACAAAGGTGCTTTTCTGCCCGGGGACCCCACAGCGAGGTGCGGTGTCTCTGCACCCCATCTTCCTGGTGGGACTCTCTTCCCTGTCACTCTTACAGACTTCCCTCTCCAACCTCGGATCCTTTCGGTCCACCACCCGAGGTGGGATCCTGAGGTTTCTGTGGAAGATGCCAGCTCCCTCTAAGGAGGGAGGTGCCAGCGAGGCTGACATCAGCACCGGCACATACAGCACAGCTCTCTAAAGCGGTTTGGGCTTTTTT